GGGTGAGATGATGCATGTAAATTACTTGGCACTGTGCTTGCTGTAGAGTTTAGCGCTTAAGATAGTCATCAGCATCCTAATTGGATGGCAGTGTGAGCTCTTTGAGAGCATGGCCTCTTCATCTTTGGACCGTCCCCCCACCTCCCTTCCAGATACCTCCCCCACATCCACACTTAACAGATCCTAGCATATATCAGCCATTACATTAGCTCTTATCGGAAATGCTGTTGAATGCAGGTCATGGGGATAACCCAGCCACTCTGTCTCCCCAGATTTATCTTCACGGGATGCTTATTGCAGCAGACATTCAGAGAGTTAACTACTGAAAACAACCTACAACTCCACAATAAATGATGGCACGACTTGACGGTGGAGTCCTCCGCAGCTGTTAACAGCCATGAAGTCACCCTGTAAGTGCTGACTTAGGGAAATTGCCAAGACATATTCTGGGGGGAAAATGCAAGAGCCTGTTAGTATACAAAGTATGAACCTATTTGCGTGTGTGTGCAAGTATGTGCATGGGTGTGTGTGTTTAAAGGACATTTCTGAATCTTAAAGAAGTCCAGCAATGTCCTTGATCACTTGAGTCCTAACTCAAAGGTCTGCCGTTTGCGCCCACCCAGTGGCTGTAAGGCAGGAAGACCTATTGATCTGCTCCCCTCCCCTGGAGACAGCCTCCAGCCTCCAAAGCACGATGGAGCGCCTTGACTCCATCACCCCGGGGCTCATCATGCGTCAACAGTGACTGGATGGTTTCTCGCAACAGCGAGTATGGGAGAATCACAACCACCTTGGTAACAGTATGATCTCTGGAGTTGACGTGCTGCCCGGACTTCTCCGTCTTAGGAGAGAGAAAGAGAAAAAAGCAGAGCTTTTTTGTGAATTTTACACCAAGGGCCAGCAAACGGTAGCCCTCAGGACACATTCCTGTTTCAGTAAAGAGTTTTACCTAACACATCCACGCCCCTTTATTTTATTTGGTCAGTGGCTGCTTTTAAGTTGCCATTGCTAAATTGTCAGGTGCTGTGGGGTTGCCCAGAGTCATAATGACCCCACAACACGGTGCTCCGTCCCGCGCCCTCCTCACCATTGGCGCGATGCCTGAGCCCATGGTGGCAGCCGCTTGGCTCGTTCAGGGTCTTCCGGTTTCTCTTTTTCTTTTTTTTTCTCTACCCTCTCCTTGACCAAGCATGGTCTCCTTCTCCAAGGCCCAGTCTCTTCAGACAACGTGTCCCGAAGGCACGAGACAAATGCTCACCATCCTCCCTTCAAAGTTGCCTCTTGGCTGTAGTTCTCCCCAAACAGAAGGGTTTGTTCTTCTGACGGTCCACAGACTTTTCTATTTTCTCCACCAACACTATCATGAAAATGCACGAATCCTCCTGTGAGCTTCCGCGTCCATTGTTGAGGCGCCACCTGTCTGCAAGGTGACTGAAAACGCCACAGCGTGTGTCAGGTGTAGCGGAGTCCTCAAAGGGACATCTCTGCATTTTTAACTCTTTACCGAGGTCTCGTGCCACAGATTTGTCCAGTGCCATATTTTGATCGCTCGACTGCTGTTTCCACGAGTGTTGATTGTGGAGCCAACTAAAGTGAAAGATTGGACCACTTCAATCTTGTCTTCCTTTATCGTGAGGTCAGTTGGTCCCACTGTGAAGATCTGGTTTTCTTTACATCGAGTTGTGAGCTGTATTGAAGCTTGCGATCCTCGCTTTTCATGAGCAAGTGCTTCAAGTTCTCTTCACTTTCAGCAAGCAAGGTTGTATCACCTGCATCGTTAATAAGTCTTCCTCCAGTCCTGGTCCTCAGTTCTTCTTATAGTCCACATTTCAGAGTCTCTGCTCAGCATGCAGAGTGAATAATTACGGCAAAAGGATACTTCTCCAATTCACTTCTCTCATTTTCGAGACCATGCCCTCGCCCCTTGCTCTACTTGAACAGAGAACTTAATGGCTCCTGAAGTCCGAACCGCTTATTATCTTTTACAGAATAAGTTTACCAACCTCTGGTTTATTCTTCTATCAAACCTACAAAGAAAAGTTCACATTATTATCTCTTCAAAGTATTTCAGAACATAGCAATCGTAACCCTGATATCAAAAGCCAGGAGAGAATCCCACATGATCATTGATGCAAACATTCTAAACAAAATCTTAGCCAATAGAATCCAACAATGTATCAAAAAATATATTATGGCATGGTCAAATGGGATTCATACCAGGTAAATTAGGATAAGCCAGCATTAGAAAAACAATCAACATTGTCTACTACATTAGTGAAAACAAAGGAAAAGAGCCACACGATCATATCAATTGTTACAGACAAGGCATTTGACAAAATCCAGCACCGATTCTTGATAGAAACACTGAGCAAAGTCGGAATAGAAGGGAAATTCCTCACCATAATTAGGTTGTTGTGTTAGTCTGGATTGAGGAGAAAAACAAATTCATAGACTCATGTGTGTAAGAGAGAACTTTATATCAAAGAGCAATTGTACATTAAGAAAGCATCCCAGCCCAATCCAGGTTAAGTCCACAAATCCAGTATTAGCCCATATGTCCACGTGGGGAAAGGCCAGCCCCCCACAATTAATCGCAGGTTTGATAGGCGCAATTGTATGGTTAAAAAAATATATCTAGATTATAATAAAGTCATAGAGAACATGGAGAGATAGAAGAGAGATCGAAATAATGGAGTCAGACACACTGGATGGTAGCATGCTCCCCTCAGCCACCTGACTGGCTTCCACAGGTGCAAGCTTTACCGAAGCAGACGGCTTCGTCTTCCTTTCATACCACCCACCTTTCACTTAGTTGCTGAGCACCGAACTATTACATTACCAGGGCCCCTGTGAATATAAGTAGCAGTAGAGCATGGTGGCCAGTCTCCTCATCAATCAATTACAGGGATTCTTTCACCCTTTTAGAACATTGCCTCCTACACCCTTTCCTGTGAACTGCAGAACCACCTTTGACCTGTCCTGCTGCTACCACCCCATTTTATAGGTAAGGAAGCCGAGGCTGGAAGAGTTTTGCTCCACATTGCTCCGTGGGGAAGAGTAGACTTGCACAGCAACTAGCATCTTCTGACTTACTGCAGGGCTTTTCGACATGCTCCGGGCAGCTGTTTTCTTTGTCCCTCCTGTCCTTTTCCTTCTTAACGTGAGCCCTGGGAGGATAGTGAACTGTCTTGGTCTCTTCCGTGTCTGGCACTAATCAGGTACATACATGCTGTAAATGCATGTTGATTATGGGAGACTATTATTAGAAAAGACACACTGAAGGGGAACACACTGGACAAATGCCACTTTCCGCTTTGGCCACTCATTCATCAAACTCCTTTCCCTGTCTGAAGAATCTGCCATCCTATGGGTCTTGGTGGAAGGAAGGATCTGCTTATTAGCCTCCCTCAGAGCTGGACGACACAGGCAGGCAGGCAGGCAGGCAGCTAAGGCTCCATCAATCACAACTGTCTGTCTAGACCTTCATCCCCAAGTGGCAAGGACAAGGGAGGGCTCTCTATTGTAGTGACAATAGTGTCCTCAACTGTCCCATTCTGTGCTGTGGTTTGGAAGATTTTTAATGACATCTTTTTTTTCTGTCCAAGTTTCTTTATCTGCGTTTAAGATGATGGGGAAGAGGGTTCCTTTATGAGCTGGGGGTGGGGGG